ATATATATATAAGATTTACCTCCCTACCTTTATGAAAACTTCCCTTTATGTTTCGGATTGAGCATCTTTAATGGTTAATTACAGTTTATGATTTACAGTCCGCGCGAATGAAAAGCCCGCTTTGGACACGCTATTATCTAATTTAAACCGGATATTCATTTATTTAAGCTGAAATAAACAGCGTCGTTTCGTGTCTCGTTAAACTAATAAATTAAGTGGCGTCAAGAAGGTATCACTGTGAATACCACCATCTTTTATTAATCACTATTCTAATTGACAGTGGTTTTTGTTCTAATCGATCCAAGTCACGATTATGATGGTGACAAGAAGGAATTATTCCATCATTATAAAATGTTAAGTGTAAACATCTCAATCAACACCCGACTGACCTTCAGGTGATGAGGAAGAGACGGACTGACAGGCAATGAGGAAACTAAGAAATCACCACAGGAAGAAAAAAAATCCTAGTCGGTCAAACAGACTGGCATAGATAATGTAATACAGATCATTTTTATTTAACTTTTCTTTTATTATAGAGTAATATTTACAAACATTAATGGATTGCCATGTTACTATCTGATATAAAATCTTTTCACTTAATGAAAAATGTTAAAAGGAGAGCGTGGAATTTGTTTAAAAACAGAGATAGACGGGAAAAAATTGGAACACCTTGAAAGTGGAATATTAAATGACGACCGTATCAAATGCTATATCTTAACAGTCGTGTATTTTTTTATCCGATTTTATCTTAACTGCAACTTTAATGTTGTGTTTCCAATCATTTAGAACGATACTAGAATGTGTAATTACTTATTTTTTACTTCAGTTATTCAACTTATGTAAATGTCGTTTTTTATATTGTTACAATTTCGCATATAATATTTGACCTTTACATTAAATATTTAGATTTATAAATTTGAAAATTTATAAATCTAAAATGTATTTAAAGTTAAAATAAGACTGGTAGCAACATGCTAAACTTGTATTTCATCAAAGATAATGAGGATTAATAATTAATTTAATAATAATTAGATAATTAATAATTAAGATAATTATTAATAGATTATATAAGATAATTATTAATAGATAGATTAGGATTAATAATAATTAAGATAAATTAAATTAAATTATTTTTTCGAAAAATAATTTAATCTAATTTTAATAATTTATATTATAAAAAATTTATTATTTTTTATAATCTTTTATTTGTTTTATATAATTTTTTTTAGTTGTTTAATTGTAATTTTTTTTAGTTGTTTAATTGTAATTTTTTTAAATTTTTTATGTGTTTAATTCTTTATTTTATTTTATTTTTTAATTTTTAAAATTAATGATAAAATAAATTTTATTTTCTAATATTATGAATAAGAAAGCTTGAATTTTTGAATTGATACTAAAAATGTTTTATCAAATATTTAACACATTTTCGCTGGAAAAATTGCATTTTTCGAATTTTAATTCAAAGTAAGGATCTATATCTAACTGTTCTAAAACAATTTTAGCTTTTAATCTAGTTAAATTAGTTGTATTAGATATTTCGTTTTGCTTTCTCAAAAACTCTTTATACCTTTGATTAACATTGTTTTGTTGTTCTTTTTAGCGTTTTTTTTTCTTCTCAAAACAGCATTTTTCAAGACAAAGGGAAATTTTTCTTTATAATAACAACTGCTCTTAACAAATTCTCATATTATTTACGTAAATTTAAAGATAGCTTTTACTCATATATTAATTTATAAAAAAGTTATTAATGAAATTGTGATTTTTTTACGTTTTTCAAAAGGAGGTTAAGGGAATAGCATAGTGAAGTAAAAAGTAGTTTATTTGACTTCTTAATAAATTCTGCGTTGGATTCAACGTAATCGACTTTCATAATTAGCGCAGTTATTAATGATTTTAAGTATTATATATTTTTCACCAAGATGTTATGCGAAATTTGAAGATGTAATAGTTTACAAAACTTTCTTTTCTTTTCATAAATTGGTTCTATTAATTTGGAAATTCGGAAAAACAGCGTATTTGAATTACACAGTTGCAGCGAATTAGCTCAAAACTTGGCTGTCGTAACGTGGACTTTGTTTTCCCACGTATGTACTTATGAGAACAAAATCAACCAAACACTTTTGGTTTTTAGCTGAACGTTAAATGATACTTGACCGCTTTATCTATACCTTAAGGCAACTTTATTGCCCAGAAACCATTAGATCAATATTTTTTAAATTTCGAATTTTGGTAAAAATGACAGATTACTATGCTGCGAAAATTTTCAAAAAATAAAATTTAATTTCTTTTTAAATTAACATCCTAAATTGTGTACATGCAACTAGAGAAGAAGGAGAGTGATTATGTTCAACCATGTGATTTAATTGGATAGCTGTCAGCGACGTCACGCTTGTGTGTCAAACCTGATTGGCTTCTGAATCGACAAATGCCACGATTTACCAACGATGACGTCATTTGCTGATAACCACTTGTAGCTATTTGTATCTATTAATCCACGACATTTAATCGTCACATTTTCTTATTTTCAAATCTTATAAATTCAAGTTTGATCAAAATATTCGAAAAATTTCAGTGCTTAAATTATATACCAAAAATAAACTTGCCTCGAGTAATTTATTTTAAAAGCGACAATCAATAAATAGCTCAAAATAAAATAAAAAGTAATTTTAAAATAATTTGTTTTATATTTGTATTAATAATAAAAATACCCTAAATATACTAGTGCTATTAAAAGAAGGAAAAAAAAGCTTATTACAATTATATATTCTTGATAATGGCGCATAAAAAAATTTAAAGATCAGACAATAAAATCATCCCTTTCCGTAACAAATTTACTTCCGTCATTTTCTATTTTGATATTAATAAATCGTCGCAGAAAAACCAAAACAATCCTTCTAACATCCCTTACCCAGAAAAACTCGCCAAACCGCGAAACCGAAACTAAACAACAACATAACCCGCTCCAGTGAGATAGAAAATGTAACTTGGCGAGAAACACTCTTTCACCCATTGAAATCCTCACCTGTTGGAATCGCATCTGCCTTCACAAATCAGAAGTAGCTTTGTTCTTGTTCGACAGGTACATTAGTTTCCTTGATCTGAGGCATTGCAGAACAGAACAGGAATCATGACGGTTGATCCCAAATATGAATACGCTTCGGAATCCAGCATGCATCATGCAAATTACATGAAAAATTCCAAAGCTATTGGCGTACTTTGGGGGGTATTCACCATTTGTTTTGCTATAATTGTAGTGGTGGTATTTATACAGCCGCATTGGTTGGGAGATACGCAGGAAAGCCGGGGTACCGGTCACTTTGGACTTTGGCAAGCATGCCGGATGGTACAGGATGGTCAAGATGTGATTTGCGAAGGTAAATTAACTGATTTTAATTCCATCCCGACACCTGCCTTCAGAGCAGCTACAGTTTTTATTGGATTGTCCGTGGTCATCGTGCTCCTGTGCATTTGTTGTATGGTGCTGTTTTTCGTGTTCCATTCTTCTACGGTGTTCCATATTTGCGGCTGGATGCAAGTGTTTTGTGGTAAGTTTTTATTATGCTTTTAATCTTCCTACACAATTAATAACAAAGTATGAATATTTAGTTTAAGTTCTTCATTACTTATTACAATTTTATCTAGTAATTTCTTAAACTTTCACAATTGTCAGTGTCTTTTTTGAATCGTGGCTTGCTTTCTCTCTTGAATGTCAGATTGCTATTAGACATTTCGAAATAATCAAAAATAGTCAATTTTATTTCTTTTATATTTCGAGGCGCCTTTCGAAGATATCCAAAGCTTCTCAGGATGCTATAACATCACTTTGGAAACAGTTGATTTTCTAAATGATATTTTTCAAAAAAACGTAATATTGATTCTTTAGAGTTGTTGATATTTCTGGAAAAAATCTCTATAACATTCATAAACTGAATTTCAATAGTTACGCGTCGTTTTTCAAACGTATATTGTTTGTAAACAAATTGATAGTTCCGAATCCTATGGTATGAACTGTAACTCAGTAAACTATGTTAACCTGGTGAATGTGCAGGGATCAATTGCCATTACTTAATCATCGCATTACAAATTTTAAATTTTCAGGAATTATATACAATCATTTAATTTAAAATTAATATACCACTGTGGTTACCAGCTTGCTAGCTAAGTAAAGGCGGCCTGTCTGCAGTGTTCACCATATCACCAGAACCTTTGTGGAATTGTGGAATTTTAACCTCCACGACCCTCCTGGCCAATAACGGGCTGTTGCAGGAAAGTTTTATTTTAAAAACAACCCACTACATGCTAACAAAAGTTTTAAAAAAGACGTTCTGGCAAAGGAAAAAAAGAATTTTTAGTGCTTTAAGAATTATATTTGCTATTATTCCTTTACATATAAGTACACTGTAATACGAAACTTACGTTTCAAAAGTTCATTAGAAGGGCATACAAATCATTAGAAAGGCAATTAGCTCAGAATTGTTTCTCACTTTATAGGATAAGAATTTATGTTATTGATTTTTCTTTAGACAATTCTATTTATAAATTAATCTAATGTTACAATTTTGATTTTATTCAATTAGTGAACTCTAAAATAAACCAGAAAGAAACATTGCTAAATATAACAACAAAGCAAAATATTTTAATTACGTAAAAAATTGCGGAACATTTCTGAAGTCTTTAAATCTAAATAGACAAATTTGTTAATAAGATGAGTACTCTTAAATAAAACAAACTGATAAAATGTGAATGTGAATTGAATTTTTTTCTTATCCTTAAAACGGCAATTTTTTCCTTACAATTATGGTTAATTATATAATATAAGTTATATAGTATTATTATAATTATATAGTATAAGTATTTAAATGGTCATATATATTGATATATTTTAATAGGTTTATGCATTAATTTAATGNTGTGAATGTGAATTGAGTTTTTTTCTTATCCTTAAAACTGCAATTTTTTCCTTACAATTATGGTTAATTATATATTTTAGTATAAGTATTTAAATGGTCATATATATTGATATATTTTAATAGGTTTATACATTAATTTAATGTTTCGAATGCATATGTAAAAAATATCACATACATTCTGATTTCACGGGCTCTCAAGATATATTTATGACATGTTTCGATTCTTTCAGCTCATTTTTTAAAATTTTATGCTTTAAAAAGTAATAGAAATTATTTTTTATTTTTTACTTGGATAGTTGCGTCGGAAAAATTCTTATTTGATTCAAATCGCTTAGTAAGTTTAATTTAAATGAATAGAAGTTCATATAATATTTGATTCATGTTGTACGTTTGACATGTGAGTACAAATGAATTTGCTAAAAGAAATACAAAAAATGTTGGAATTAAGGAAATGCTAATGAGCAAATTTTTTGAAGCCTTAAAAAACACTGCTTTCATTAAGTTTAGATGCATGAGTTTAATAAATTTTGTGGATTTTTACTCATTTCTTAGTAAAATGACTCCCAACATTTGCTAGTTTTAAATTGCTCTATATTTAATCATAAGTCTACAGAACTGTAAATTAATATAATAGAGTTATTAAATGATTCTATAATTCAGTTTGTTTAGAATTATTTTAATTATATCTTATATTATTTACGATTTACTAATTTAAAGTAATGTCAAATTTTGAATCAGTTAACGAAAATTTTATTTTTAAATTAATGTAAAATCAATGTTTTCTTGTGTTTTGAACTTTAATAATATAAGATATAATTGAAATGATTCTATTTTATTGCATCTTGTAAAAATATCAAAGCCGCAAATTTTTTGGACTTTAATTTACATACATCAATACAGAGTATCCCACTTATGTGAAGCCATCTTGATTCTGTGCCTTAATTGGATGCAAAGAATACCAATACGAATCGAACGTTGCAAAAATTCATATCCAAACAAATATTTACTCCATTGTTACTGATGGTGGTCAACTTATCTTGGCCTCTTCCTTATGTCGCCAAAGGATACGAATTATGAAAATATACCAGAAACCCATTCATAGCGAGAAATAATGTCCCAAGCCAGATGTTACAGCAGGATAATGCCTCATTTCATGTCACAAAAATTTCCCAGTGGTGATTTTAGGATAACAGGGTGCTTGTCATGAATGACCTGTTCTTTCCCTTAACTTCAATCCCCAAGACAACAGAAGGGGCAATTCTTAATAGGGCTGTATGTATCAATGAGGGGCATCAGTTTCAGACTGAGGCGGAATCAAAAACTATCATCGTTGAAACGTGGCATAATATTTATGCTGCTGTCATCCAGGTAGTGGTAAATGGTAAGCAACATCGAGTACTTCATTACTTATTTAAATGTCGCGGGAATTTTGGCTATATTCAGAATGTCGATGGGACACTTTTTTGGCTCATTTGATTTTTTTTCCTGTTCAGGTGGAGCAAGGAGTGAGTTACTCCTTGTAAATATGTATTTGGATATGAACTTTCATAATGCACATGCTTGATTCACATTGGCACATACGTATATGCATAGCAAAACATCAAGGTGCCTTTATTTAAGTGGTACACACTGTATTATGCTCGAAAAAAATAAAAGTATACAGGAGTATGAGGAGTCTTACGAAAAGAAATTATTATCTCTAGTTTTTCTTAAAATTCATTCCTGATTTTAAAAGTTTCTGCAAATTAAATTAATTTACGTCATGACAGTTTTAGTGACAGTTATTGGATATAATTGTTAGGAATTAACAGATAAATAAAAGTAAAGATAATTTTTTATTATAATTAATTACACATTTTTAAATGCAAAACCTTATCAGCGAGTGTATAACACAAAACAATTAATTAGAATGACTAGAATGAATCTTAATTTTAGAATTACATATTGAAGCAAAATCAATAAAGTATGAATAATTTTTATTAACTCGATGACAGAATTTACGGAGACACTATCTACATAAATCTAAATTTGACTACGACCTCATCGCAGCCCGAAAAAGATGATTAATGTAAAACTTCAGCTTAATCTAACATCTATGTAGCAAAGTTTGCAAATATCAGGTCCATAAAAATCATACGGAAAGACTTTTTATTTAAATTTAAGTTAAATTTTATACAAAGATACTAAAAAATGGAATAAATCCCAACATACAGTGAAGCATGTAATCAAGTCACAGAAAAACTATCTTTGCGGAGTTTTTTTCTCTACTATTTTATTAGAATTGAGTTTAGACAGTTAGACAGCACCTCTTACAAGAGCGAAAATCTCAGCACGGATCAATTTAATAGTCCAACGTAACAAACAAACTGCGCAGTGGAGGTAAATAAGAAAGATGTCACTACGCTCCGGCTACTAAGCTGCACAGTGGTGGGAAATACGAAATATGTAATTACATTTGGATTACCAAAGAATCAAATCTCTTGTTCATTGTAACCCGTGCAGAGGCCTTCTCTCTTCTTGGAGGTATTGGCTTAGAAATGTTTTAAAAAGGAGTTTTTTTAGTAATTTTCTTTCATTTATTTGCTTGCTTTTTTTAAAAAAAAAAAACTAGGATTAAAAATAATCTGTAGATGCTGTATTAATCAGCAAAGTCCGTTACCGGGTTTATTAGTAATGCATCATATAAAGATTCTATAATACTGTATAAGGAAAAAAAGTTTTGAAAACTTTTGTTTAAAAGTTTCTGTTAATTAAAATAATTTATGCAATGACAGTTATAGGTTTAGTGACAGGATTTAATTGTATGAGAATAATCGTTAAGTATAAGCAAATATATTTTTTTATCATAATTGATTACGTATTTTCTAATTCCTAAATCTTAATACCAAGCTTTTTTCATAAAAAAAACTTAGAACAGAAAAAAGAAACTGTTCATAGAATTATGTATTGAAGCAAAGCCAATAACATATGCGTGGTTTTTTATTTATAATTAATATATTATCCAATAATAAACCACAAAGAAATATGTTTTAATCAATAACAAATAATAATTAACAATCAATTAATTAATAATATTTTATATTTGTTATTATCCAATAATAATAACGATAAAATATTAATGAATTTGGAACATTCATAAAATTAGAATTATTTTCTAATCAAGGGAAATGAACTATTTTAGTTTAGATATCATTACTTTAAAAAAAAATGACACCTAACAACGAGTAAAAATACAAAATGTTTCAACTACATTAATGGTTGATCAATTCTTACATCATTTACACGTTCTCACCAAGGATTTAAATGGTTACGGTTAAGTAGAGCTGAAAGAAATATGCACACACTACTGAAAAAAAAAGTATAGGTTTAATAATCATTAACGCGGGCTACATTTATCTTCAAGGTTCATTGTGTAGATATTTGGTATGACATTAATTGAATCTTAAATAATATTGCAGAATTCCTTTTTTTTTAAATAAATTAATTTTATCAGATTTGATTTAATATTTAACTGGTCATTTGTTGGTAGATGGAACTAAACTCTTTGTATCTTAATATTATAATGAATATGCTAATGTAGGAATAATTTTTAAATATAAAAAGAATAGCTTGAAATTTGAAAATGTCTTAGATAT